CACACTGCCAAGTCTGTATTGATTTTTAAATAAGTATAAAATGTGCATTCTACTAAATGCAATATATTAAGTTGAAACTTTGACATTTCTTCATTGATTTTTTTTTTAATTACCACCGTACATAACTAAATATTTTGACACTTTTCATTTAACCTTTTTATCACCAATCAAAGCATTTGGTTTAACTTTATGTTTTTACATGCACACACACCATTTCATTTTGCTGTAGCTATTTATTTCTTAAATGGAATACAGAGCAATTAAAAATAATGTATCACAACTGGAACAATGCATGTATTAACACAATGGTTGAAAACATATGGTATAGTGGTTTTGTAATCGGTACATCAGTCTTCGCTAAAGTGTTAACAGGTAACACTTATTCAAAACAAGGGTTAATAGATATCACATTCAATCAGTACAACAGAGTCATTTTGTGTATAATATACCTTAGAAAACAAATAACACTTATCAAAGCTTTATTGTTTAAACATCTGTAGAATTATCAGTGAGCATATAACATATTCGATTATAATATATTTTTTAGGTTTGCATTCCTTTCAAAAGTATCATAAAAATAGATTAGGAATGCAAAAATGTTTGCAACATATAGTGTGTTTCATTTATCATAAAGATAAATTATATATTTATTTGCTGTAGGAGCTGCTGCCTCTGCTTTGCTGCCATGATAGATGGAGCCTGGTTCCTCCAGGCATTCTACTTAATTGGACCTACTTGAGAAAAATTCACCAAGCAGAACGACTGAACTTGATGGACACAATATCAGTTGGAGCAGATTTTAGATACTACTCTTTTCTGCCTATGAAACTAAGTGACAATCCTCTCCTATAACATCATACACTAGCCTCACTGCCAGCTCATTAGCAAGAGAATGTAATCACCTCATTACTATTCTCCTCTATCAAACAAGGGTGCTGTAGCTGCCGTGGCAGAGATCTGGATAACCTGCAGTATGCGGGTTCTCCTGCACTGCCATGTCACTCAGTTGATGGAAAGAGAGTACTGATTGACAGGAGGAAGAAGAGCCAATATGTGTTAAATCATTTTATCTAAACTCCTATACACTTGCTAGTAGTTTTTATTACTAAAAGTGCATAGATGCTTTTAAATTCTCATTTAATAAATGTTTTCTATCCTGTGACAGGCACCCTCTTTTATAAATATATTTCAAAGTGAGTAATAGTCTAGTAGTATCTAAAATCTGCTCCAACTGATATTGCTACAACTTTTCTAGAGACAGCAGGATTTTTTTAGTTCTCCATTCACATCCAAAAATACATTAGTAAATTATGAATTCACACCAAACCCTACCATTAAAAAACAAAACAAACTAACAGCTAGGGAATCAAAAACACGGGCATACAATGTTACCACCAACTATACCAAGCAGGTACACTCAGAACCTTCGAAGACTTAAACACTCTAGCCCCGCTAACCGCTAAAGATCACTTTAGGTGCATCCAACTACGGGATTTTGCCAGACGTACACAAGTACGGACCGCTGCCAAAGCCAAATTAACTTTTTATGAAACACTATGCGTGTAACGGATCACCTGGCACCCCGACTGGGTACCTCCATTGAAGGATGCTCCTAGCACTTCCTGAGGGCTCTAAGCACTCCAGCAGACACCATAACCATAGTGGACTCCCTCAGAGAGCAGGACAGGAACAAGCTCTTACAAGAGCTTAGCAGTGAATTTAGCAAGAGAGCACAAGAGCATAGCAATCCCTTGTAGCAGATTCCCCCAATAAGAGACAACACTCCAGGGTTTATTGTTCTTATATACACATTCTTACACATTAGTACCACCCACAGGGTTTTGTAAAACAACCAATAAACACGTACAATACACTCAGACACTCCCACACAAAATCCTCCCCTCTGCCTGTGATACAATTACCTTACACAATGTGTTAATATAATTATCACAGGCAGGAAAATACACAGTTTTACACAATATTCATAACTTTAAAAGTATGCATCACATTCACATAAAATTTACATTTACATTTTCAGAATCAGCATACTCCAAATACACACATACGTCAAAATCATACAAATTGGTCCAGTGAGTCAAAAGTTAGTTCAACGTC